GCAATGCTTGGGGCTCTCTCCAAGTGATCTAGGACCGCCCCCCAAGGATCTCCGCTTTATGGCAGATGGTTCACAGATGACCCCGGCCCTGGGTTCACTCCAAGCACAAGTCACCTTTGGCAACAGGTCGTGTCAAGCCTGGATTGATGTGCATAACGGTGTCCCGACTCCTTTGCTGTCCTACAGACATTGTCAAGAGTTGGCCATCATCTCCCAGGACTTCCCCAAACCTATTCTTGAGGTAAAACACGCCAACAGGGTGCAAAAAGGGAGCAGCAACGACCCTGCTGCCGCCCTACCCCTGCCTCTTGCCAGTGACACCTCTCCTTCGGATGCTCGGAAGTACTTCCTGAAGGAATTCAGCGACGTTCTGGTGACCAAGTCCGCTCTGGAATCCAAGCCTCTCAAGAAGATGGCAGGTCCCCCCATGAGGATCCACCTGAGGGACGACGCGAAGCCCTTCGCTATTTACACCCCTCGACTGGTTCCCCTGGCCTTCCGCGAGGCGGTCAAAAACGAGCTGGACTCCATGGTCGCCCAAGAAATTATTGCACCAACCGGCGATGACCCGTCTCCATGGTGTCACCCTATGGTTGTCGTCGCAAAACCTAGAGGTGGTGTTCGGATCACCACTGACCTCTCCAAGCTCAACAGCCAGGTGTCTCGTCCTGCGCACCCTTCTCCCACGCCCTTTGCAGCTATACGCAGTGTGAACCCGAAGGCGCGCTTCTTCACGACGATGGACGCCCTGTGTGGATACTGGCAGATAGAGCTTGCCGAAGAAGACCGACCACTCACAACTTTCATCACCCCGCATGGACGTTACAGTTATTGTCGTGGCCCCATGGGATTCGCCGCTACAGGAGACGCTTTCTGTCTTCGAGGTGATATGGCTCTACAAGGTCTGGCAAACTGCGTGAAAGTGGTCGACGACATACTCATGTACGACGAGGATTATATGGATCACCTCTGCCGTATCTACGAGGTACTCAACAGGTGCCGGAAGCACTGCATTACCCTAAATGCCGACAAGTTTGTTCTGGCCAGCTCTTCAGTTGACTTTTGTGGGTACACCCTCTCAGGGAATGGTATCGCAGCTGACCCGGAAAAGGTCCGCGCCATCACTGATTTTCCCACCCCTGCTAACCTGACCGACTTGAGGTCCTTCATCGGTCTCGTCAACCAGTTAGCAGAGTTTTCGTCGGACATCTCCGCAGCTGCTCAACCACTTCGCCCCCTGATGAACCCCAAGAGGACATTCCTGTGGACCCCCGACCACGACAAGGCCTTCCAGCAAATGAAACAGGCCCTGTCTCGTCCACCCGTCCTCGCCACGTTTGACCCAGCCTTGCCGACAGTTCTGCAGACAGATGCCTCACGCTTGTATGGCGTGGGATACGCCCTACTGCAGGATCATGGTGGAGGGCAGTTCCGGCTCGTCCAGTGTGGCTCGCGTTTCCTCTCTGACACTGAGACGCGCTACGCCACTATTGAGTTGGAGCTGTTGGCTGTGGTTTGGGCGATGTCCAAGTGCAGGTTTTACCTCATAGGCCTGCAACACTTTCACCTAGTGACCGACCATCGCCCGCTTGTCCCGATCCTCAACCACTACACGCTGAACGCCGTTGAGAACCCTCGCCTCCAGCGTCTGAAAGAGAAGCTCTCGGCGTACATCTTCACAGCAGTGTGGCGTGCTGGTAAGGAGCTCTGCATCCCTGATGCCTTATCCCGCTCTCCTGTCAGCCGCCCTACTCCAGAAGACCATGTGCTCGACGCCGACCTCGCTCTTTCCGTCAGGACTGTGGTCACTCTCCATGCCGTCCAATCCCTTCGTTCGGACCTGTCACCAGATGACGACAAGGCAATGGAGGACCTTCGAACAGCGGCCCGAGATGACCCTTCCTACGTCCGACTTGTCGAGTGTGTGAGGAATGGATTTCCTAGCAACCGCTACGATCTTCACAACACCCTGCTCCCGTATTGGAAACTCCGCGATGAACTCTACTGCGACGGAGACCTTGTTCTGTACGGAGCACGTGTAGTTGTCCCTGCTGCATCACGTCCCCACGCCTTGGCTCGCCTTCACGACAGTCACCGTGGAGCTGAGGCCACCAAACGACGTGCACGACAGACTGTGTTCTGGCCCGGCATCAACTCCGACATCTCCAATGTTGTCCGTGCGTGTGAGCCCTGCCAAGTACTACAACCCAGCCAGCAGCAGGAACCCTTCATGAGTGACGACAACCCCACCCGCCCCTTTGAGTCTGTGTCGGCCGACTTTTTCTGTGTGTCAGGAAAGTCCTTCCTTGTTATCGTCGACCGTCTCTCTGGTTGGCCGGTTGTCATCAAGTGCGGTAATGACACGACGTCTGCCGCCACCATCAGCAAGTTCCGCCACTACTTCCGTGACGTGGGCGTTCCTGTACGCCTGCGAACCGACGGAGGGCCTCAGTTCACAAGCCGGGACTTTGCTGTGTTCCTTGACCGATGGGGAGTCCGGCATGTGTTGTCATCGCCCCATTACCCGCAGTCCAACGGCCACGCTGAGGCTGCTGTCAAATCCCTGAAGCACCTCATCCTTAAGGTGGCCCCTTCTGGGAACATTGACTGCGAGGCCTTCGACCGGGGTCTTCTTGAACTCCGCAACACACCTAACTACACCGGACGCTCCCCTGCCCAGGTTTTGTATGGACGCCCCCTTCGTTCTTGTGTCCCTGCTCACCCTCAATCCTTCTCCAAGGAGTGGCAGGCCAAGACAGAGGATTGTGATCGCCGAGCCGCCGAACGTGCTCAGGACGTCGTCGCCCGCTACAACGACCACGCCCGTTCTCTCCCCAGGTTGAGTGTCGGCACCCAAGTCCGTGTTCAGGACCCGACCTCCCTACGTTGGGACAAAGTAGGCGTAGTCATGGGTCTCGGTAGGTCACGGGACTACCAGGTGCGGTTACCCAGTGGTCGTGTGTGGTGGAGGAACCGCCGTTTTCTCCGCCCCGTAACAATGCCTTCTGCTGGCCCCGCCACCAGTGTTGAGTCCCATACCCTTCCCAGTGATGAAGTCCTCGACGCTCAGAACGGATCCAAAAGAAAAGGTCCGCTCAAGACTTTGCTATGAGCGTATAGGGGGGAGGGAGGTGTATGTATATTATGTATGCTGGATTATATATTATGTATGTATATTATGTATGTGCTCCATTTATGTATTATTTATTCAGCCTAGCTAGCAGCGTGTGGCAATGTTATTACCATATCCCACATGCTTAATTAATGTGCCTGGCGACGTATGGAAGCTGCTAATGTATCACTTGCCATACGTCGTCTATAGCAGTTGACCAGGACCTAAGCTAGGGAGCGCTACTTCCCTCTGTGTACATATCTCTCATCCAGTAAACCGAACCTACAAAACTATACAGGTGTTTGTGTTCTCTCCTGTATATTGAACTTATTATCCAGAACCTAACAGTCTCTAAATTTTTCTGCCTTTCCGGCCTTCCGCTTGTTCCTGGACTGAACTAGTTGAAAGCCATCCTCTCGTTGGTGTCAAGGTCAACACCATAGTCACCTGGCTCACTCAGTGCATCAGGAGAGTTAAAGCGAGTAGCTGGGTCTCCAGTCAACTCAGACATGGTGGAGTTACAGGACCCGACCTATATGCCTACGTCAGAGGGCTGAGGACTGCTTGGCACTCCCAGGAAGTCAGCCGTGGTTGGGAGGCGTAACCCTCATAGAGGACAAGGGAGACTGGCATCTACAGCGTATTGGCTGTGTGAGGGGAGGCCGTGAACGGGCCTCCCGCGGAGGGAGTGTGGTGTCAGTGGGAAGGTAGCAGGAGTATTCTCAGTTTATAAACACTTTTATTACACTACACTTGTTCTTAATAGTATCTCTGTTTTTCTGGTTAGATACAGTATCAAAGTCAATTTTAGTTTCAAAAGAGCTATCCAGCCTGGCACACTATGAGGACGGGAGGGGGGGGGGGGTTGTGTAACAAACCCTCACCACATGGCTGAGCGTGACCACAAGGGTATAGGCCTTGCCTAGCGGGCACCTACCCACGCCACACTCCTCAACCCACACGTTAGTTCACTTGTTATACAGGCAACATATTTGCAGTTGTTGACCTATCGGTTAAGGTAATCCTCCAAGTGATAGTGCTAGGAAGAACACCTAATATTCAGTACCACCCTGTGAGAATCCTGCACCTTAATTCCCAGTGTGTAACACCGTAATCTTAAAAAGATCACAGGTGGTCCACGCACACAGCCTTGCTCACACACACGCTGAGAAGAAAACCGAGTTGACAGGGATGTTGTTGGTAGGTGGTAACACGCTTATCTCTCACTTTTGTGTCCTGGGTTCGATCCCCAGCCTGACTCAGATGTGTGAAGGGTGTTATCCATGTGACCCAACGATCCATTGCAGGTTGTCTCCTACATGTTATCTTTTGTAGGGTACCAATGTATGCAGCTAGGGTACATGTGAATATGGTTTGGGTATTTGTATGTCATGAGTGTGCAGTAAGGGTGTATGTACAAGTGTATGCAGCCAGTATACAAGGAGAGAGAGGTGGGTGGGGCATTGACGTATGTAAAGAGCATTAGTATATAAATTTGTGTGTGTGTGTGTGTATGTATATACACTGAGATTATGAGAATATGAAAATAAGGTATGAGTGTACACTGATAAGGTGAGATAATATACAGGTAAGTGTACACAGGTAAGGTAGTAATTTGTTGGGTGTACACAAGGGTCGGGTGTGTGCCTTATCATTTTGAACCAGAGTACAGTACTAACGTTCACTCTGTTTATATCAAAGTACCTAAAGGAAAGAAACTGCAGGCCAAAGTTTATCTGGCATAACTTCTATGTGCCTGATGGTGGGGAATGTGATGTGCTAGCAAATGGTGGGGTAGGAGTGGTTTCCTCTGATAGTTTGTACATTGTCTGTGTGAACTGCTCGTGTGAACAAGATGGCGACACATGTTCCTTTCTGACTCCCTCAGGTTGTGGACTCTAGTGCAGTGGAAGCAAATGTTTGCCCAAGAAAACGTCTACTTCACTGACTGCCTCCTGAGACACATGCACCAGTATCGCTTCATCGCCCATTTTGACCCTGACGAGGTCCCTATCTTACCAAAGTACAACAACTTCACCCATTTACTCGATGTACTGTTGACAAAGTAAGTGCTACTTCATACCACAACACAAACAACTTGTCGGGTATGTAAGGATCACTTTAATGACTTGTTAACACACATACCGTATGGTCTCTCCAAATTTTATAATTTAACTACAGTGTGAATATATTATGTAGGGGACTCACAAGGTCAAAAACAAGATGCAACAAATAACTGGCTGTAAAACTAATATCTATCTTGACCGACATGTCGAGCTTGTGATTTTGTATGTAAATTTAATTCTAACTGCCTTGGTCTGTTATTGTGTCAATGTCCTTATTTTGGTCGGAGGCTCATAACTTTTGCAGCCTCTTCACAGATCAGCAATTAATACTGTGCTACAAATAAAACAACTTCTCCTTGAATTGATACACCTTTAACTAACAAGAACATTTATAAAATGGTCCTTTCATTGCATTTCTTATAATCCTTATCTCTATATTGAAGTTCATTTCAATTTCCAGTCCCCTCACAGAATATAATGTAAAGCCTTTTATCTCGTCAGCAACCTTCCTTCTTTCCTTATCCACTATTTCACACAATTTCATCACTAATGAATAATGATCCTGTGAAATCCTTCAGGACAAAACATAAAAATTATGATACATAGCATTTTAAATTTCTTTATAATTTTCAAAATAATATATATATATATATATATATATATATATATATATATATATATATATATATATATATATATATATATATATATATATATATATATTGATAAAATCACACGGGAAAATGGAAACAACGGAGCACCTTAGCTTTCGTCTTTATTCAAGACATCTTCAGAGGCAACTGGATTACATGGACAGAGAGAGGCTTAAATATACAGGGTGACCTTAAAAACATGAGGTCAGGTCATAATGATGTCATCCACTAATCCCCACACCAACACACACGTAGAGGAGCTTAAGAGAAGGGGGGTGACGTGACTAGTCAGGTCAGGTCAAAAATAAGGGACCCACTAAATAACTATCATACATCTAGATCAAAGGTTTTCAAAGCATTTTTAACCTTGGGCCACTGACAAATAAATTTATGTAACATATCAGTTTTGAACTGACCATCACTAAGGTTTATTGATTTTAATTCCTTAATCAAACTAGCTTCAACCAGAAGTCTTTCTGTGACACAAGATGATTTAAATACTTCAAAGCTTTTTTCCCAAGCAATGGGATGATTATTATTCCTAACATGAACGAACAAGGCACTGCTTTCAGATGCTGTTCTGATATTATACTTATGTTGTTTGATTCTGAGCTGCAGTGTTTTTCCTGTCTGTCCTACATAATTACAATTACATTTGCTACATGGAATACAATAAACACTTCCATTTACATTCAAACTTGGGCTATTTCTTATTAACATATTGGTAATGGTTGAGTCATACTTGAAAACAACATTAATATTTAGTAGCTTGAGGGACCGAACTAACGGGACAAATTCATTACGATAGGGCAGTGTCAAAATATTCTTAAGTGTTGGAATTTGCCTGGTTTGAAAGGAATGAAAGGATTTTTTTGCCCCTTTTAAAACAACCATCAACAAACACAGAAGGGTGCCCTAGTTTCTGTGCAATGGAACGAATGTGTTTCAATTCATCGTCAATAACAGTGTAACATTGTAATTATGTAGGACAGACAGGAAAACCACTGCAGCTCAGAATCAAACAACATAAGTACAATATCAGAACTGCATCTGAAAGCAGTGCCTTGTTCGTTCATTATGACCTGACCTCATGTTTTTAAGGTCACCGTGTATATTTAAGCCTCTCTCTGTCCATGTAATCCAGTTGCCTCTGAAGATGTCTTGGATAAAGACGAAAGCTAAGGTGCTCCGTTGTTTCCCTTTTCCCGTATGATTTTATCAAGATTTATCTTATCCACGTTTTCAGTGTGGATCTACATGATATATATATATATATATATATATATATATATATATATATATATATATATATATATATATTTCATTAGCCCAATAAAGCACGCGGACTTCTACATACAATCAACACCTCAACCCGCCAGGATTCGAACCCACGGCACACAAGCCTATGACTGTGACCGGATGATGAAAATAGGTTTTTCTTGGGTACAGTGTGCTCACAGTACCAGCTGCTTCACTGTGTTTATTCTTAAAAAAAATCACATTAATTTCCAAAGAGATTTTCACTAATTTATTGCAATTATTTACTTTTAGAGAACGACATACAACATCGAAAAAAAAGCAAAGGATGCCCCCAGCTTACAAATTTCAATGGAACTTTTTCCATGACGACCTACAACCCCAGGGCGAGTCAGCCAAGCTACCAGAGTACCTGTGGTCTCTCAGACACACTCGCAGGCTCGTCCAGGATCTCAAAGTTTTCCCGGGCAAATACAAATCTCTCTTCGACATGAATACTGTCAGGGGCATCTTCTCACACGACGTCCTTCTGTGTACCACATGTAAGCTCAGTATATCCTGCCATCCAGGGTGGTTCACTCGACAATGTGTTTGGTATATGTTATTAACTCCCCATTGTGGCTGCATATAAAGTCAAATATCAGTTTTGGGGTATGTGAGTGTTTGAGTGTATTAATTAAATCTATCAAATCCAACGATGTTACTAGCATTCAAAGGTATTTTTTTAATTAAAATGTAAAGCCTATAGGACACACAAACCTATATAATGCCTTCTACCCCCTTCACCAGTGAGACTTGCCTCACTCACTTTAAGAAAGTACATTTTAGTACAGTATGTGGACTAAACTATTGCTCACCTGGAAATATATTTGCTGGCATGTCACCCATTGCTAGGTTAGGTCACCCATTGTTACTCTCCTACATCAAAGGTTCCTCCCAGGTTATCATCACAGTCAAGTATCAAAACGTTGTATCACACTGGCTCTTGCGTTGTTTGTGGAGTGTCAGCTAGATTTACCCATCAACGGGTCTTCAAGTAAATTCTCATCATTGATTATGTCACCAGAACTTTTCAAACTTCGCAATGATTTTAAAAGCATTTTTGAACTTGAAGAGAAAACCAGATTATAATATATGATCTCAGACCTTCTGAACTGTGAGGTTCATGTTCCCTTGCCCACTAAAAGGCCCTGGACGATACTCCTTTGCCTACTGTTGATTAGGTGAAGGAACTTCTCAACCCAGCACTTCATTGGACATTACATAACTAATAAGCCAGCTACAACAATTCTCATCTACAGTGAATAGTTCAGATTAAGTGACACATTACTTACACTGTGTGTGCAGTGTACAGTATTAGGTCAGTGTTAGAATACGCAGCTTCTCTGTATCATCCAGTGATCAAAAAGAGAACAAACTTAAGAAATGGTACATGTGTGTATGTAGAATGCTGTCAACCCTGTCTTAAAGAGCGACTGAGCAGTAGTTGCTGACCTAAACATCGACCCCTCTTACCACTCTGTTACTCCATACATGGATGCAGCTTATGACACTCGGTACCTCTGTTCCTACATATAGGGGAGTGAAAACTAGAAGATAATTATCAGGAAGGAATGGAACGTCTAAGTTCTTTGGTTCCTTTTCACAATATTAAGCCATGACTAAACTTGATGTCATTTTATTACATTTCTGTATGAATGGGTCCCACGTCCATGAGGTCCTACTAGGGGCATTGTGGATATACCACACAACAGTACAGTATATACACAGCCTTCGATACCTGAAGAGATTATGTGCTGACATTGCACACGACCTTACTTCAACAACAACAATAAAGTCAGGACCCGCTGACAGCTGGGTGCTCAATGCACGGACTAGTGACGAACCAGTGACCCTAAAAGACAGGAAGCGAGCACTGTAACCAATCGGTGGTACTCCTTGTCGAATCTCGTTTTAGTCTTGTGATCCTTGGAAGTGTACTACCTTAAACTTGTTTAAACTCCTGTACATTAAATTTATTTTATCTCCCCAATACTGTACTTGATTTTTTTTCGTTTATCATTATCAATTTATTTCTGAATTATTATTAATTTTAAAATCAGAGCTTGGTAAAAATTTCACCGTTATTAATGATACACTTTAGCATTTTTGAGAACCTGTTAGGTTGGCGAGTGAGAAGGCCTTGTCCTTGATGTGATGTTGATCAGTAACTGACCTTAACACTTCTGGTGTGTTGCACCGTCATAATGATTTGTCATAAATGTTTGTTAGTATCAGCAATTAATAAGTCTTCATTTATGTGGTTCTGTAGTGTTGATCAAGTTGGTGTAATAATTATGTCACTGGTAATGAATATAGATTGGTCTTAATATTAACCTCCTCTCTAAGCTAGTGTAAAGTAGTAATATTAGTTGTCACAGTACAGACACCTTTGCTTATTATTAGCATTAACTGATATTATAACAAGAATTGTCCAACTGCCTTTTGTATGTTGGGTCCCGTGTGGTGTTGAGTTCCGTGTGTTGTTGGGTCCCGTGTGTTGTTGGGTACCGTGTGTTGTTGGGTCCCGTGTGTTGTTGGGTACCGTGTGGTGTTGGGTCCCGTGTGTTGCTGGATTCCCGTGTGTTCTTGGGTCCTGTGTGTTGCTTCGGTCCCTTGTGTTCTTGGGTTCCCGTGTGTTGTTGCTGGGTCCCATGTGCTGTCGCTGGGTCCCGTGTGGTATTTAAATCTGTATAATCCATACATATTAGATTTTATAATTATATATCTTGTTTTTTAGACTATATTAAATTCATGTTGGATTTTGTGTATTAGACAGTTTGTATTGGTTTCTGTGTGATAGATGTAGTGGATCACGTAAACAAGTAGTATCTCTTGGACAGGGAAGTGCAGAGGTCGGTCCAGCATCATCTCCCCATCCTACGCCTACATCGGCCACTTTAAGCTTAATTGTGGCCAAAAATGCAGAGATGCCAATGCAACCAGGGAAGAACTGTTCTTACATAAGTTCAAAAAACCTGTAATCAAGGCTGTGACGGATGTACTCAAGAGATTGCAGCTAATTGTGTAACCAAATTCAACTCGTCAGATGGATTTTCGACAAGTAAAAATATGTGAAAAATATAGATCATTGGAGTGGATACCCAGTTACATTGAGTTTAAATGAGATGAGAACATATAATTCAGTAGCGAAGCTTTATTGAAATTATCACTTAATTATTGGTCAAATTGACTTTATATACAGTTATCACATATGAAAAGTTAAGTTCAAGAATGTCAAAGTGAAGAGAATTGGTACAGTAGTATGTATTATTAGGTGAACGCGGCTAACTGAGATACTTATGTCGCTCTGTCATAGAATCATGAGAAAGGAGCTTAAATATAGAAAAATAGGGCCATGAGACTCGCTACATAAACAACATGCAGGCCAGGAGGTAACGGCACAGCGCCCACATCTAGTAGAGTTCGATAGCAGAGGACAAGAACACTCAAGTTGATATTGAGAAGTTTTCTGCTAATAGTAGGCATTTTGTGAACTATATAATAATACCAAAACTACATAAATTTCATATATCAAGTTGTCATGGTTTTTATATCGTAATGGTGTAAGTGTAAATTTTATTATATAAAGATTATAATATTTTGTTTCTTATATTTCTTACCGTAGAGTTCGATACCTTCACACTGGTTACTTACAGGAGATTATGGTGTATCTACGTAGAAATTCACTCCACCACCCGTCATTCCATGATTTATACTTGATAAATGATGATTTAATGAGTTCCGTTAATTTCCAACATCCATCTAAGTTATTGGTTATACTTTGTCATAACCAATCAGTCATTACCTTTAGTAATAATTTGATAGGATCACAGATACGGGCAGATAATTGCACTTACATTTATTTAGCAAGCTTCCATACGATGATTTACAATTTGCATGGATATATGAGTCACTCACGTTCACGCTGTAATAAAATTAATCTTCTAAAAGAGGGAATTTTCAACTTGGGAGCACATGTGATTACTCTACTATGGGTATGATTAAACAGAGCCTTAATTCTTTGATACATTTACTGCCAGCCTGGATTGCTCTTGTTGCAACCAGACTTCCTCACAAGAACTTCTTTCACGGGGAATAATAGCAAAAGAGTACTCTTGGGTTACCACACATAGTCTCGTGTCACTGACAGTCACTGTAGACGGTTGTCGCGGCAAGGAGAACTGGTAAGCATGACTTGAATTAACCACTTAGGTGCAATAGGCCAGCTTGGATTGCTCTTGTCGCAACCAGGCATCCACACGTGATATTTCCACGGGGATAATAACCTAGGTTAGCACACTTAGTCTCGTGTCACTGACTGTCCACAGGACAGGGTGGCGGTGGAGGACTCTGTGTGGTGTCCCGTTCCCTTCAGAAGGGAGAGGGTGGGGACGACGTCTTAACTAAACCATGGCCTATGGGATACTACTTAAAATGTGGTTTTTGGGGCGTGAGGTGATGAACAGTACAACACTGTCTCACTGGCCTCCCCCTATAGACTGGCTATCATACCACTAATGGAAAATATATGTCGCAGTCATGGCTCGCCGGGTGCCTCATCTCTAGTAAAACAAACTTTGGGGTTGGTTGCGTGGGTAAGCCTAACGCAACCCATGACACAAGTCATTATGTAGAACTAAAACGTCTGTGTGCCAACTTTCCTCTTAGTATGACCAAATAAAACATGGAATACAATATACAGCAGGGATTGTTTGAGCTTTGATATCATTAAATACTTTTTAAGGATGAAATAAAGTAGATAAGAAATTTGGGTGATGTGACCTGCAATAAGGTTCAGTGCTAACCTGCCAAGTGCCAATTTACTTGTCACATAAACGAAATCATGACTCAATTATTTTAAAGAAAAAGAAACGGGAAATTATCTTGTTCCTTCAGAGGAGAGAATGAAATCTGCTAACAGTTAAAATATTCAATGGTCAGATGCTTCAGAAAGTAATTAAATTCCTACCTCAATGTGACCAGCTCTCCAGGCTGTGCCTCTCTCTAAATATATCCGCTAATTACAAGCTAATAGCTAATGCTCATTAGTCTGTCAATACCAAATAATTGTACAGACATTACTACCCAATATAACTAGAAAATTACCACGTGTGGTTACATTAAACCAAGGAACAACGAATGAAGAGAACATTACCTGTGTGTCTTGTTTAACTTACAAGCTAAGATAATTACAAGTACAACCCAGGACAGATGTGACGAAATCAACTATCAACCAATCTACGACTGTATCAATGGTCACATGCCGTGAGATTACCTGATATCTCACTCAGCTGCGTCAAAGGTACCAGCGACTAACCTACACTCATTCAGGCAAGTGTTAACAAGTGAGATAGTTGATATCCTATCACGACTAAAACAGCCTCGCCAGCTCGTTGAGTCTGTCATGGTCTTTCCAACTCGTTGAGTCTGCCATGACCTCTCCAGCTCATTGAGTCTGCCATGGCCTCGCCAGCTTGTTGGGTCTGCCATGGCCTCAACATCTCATTGAGTGTCATGGCCTCTCTAGCTCACTGAGCCTATCATGGTCTCTCCAGCTCGCTGGGTCTGTCAGGGCCTCACTAGATCATTGAGTGTCATGGCTTCTCTAATTCATTGAGTCTGTCATGGCCTCACTAGATCATTGAGTGTCATGGCTTCTCTAATTCATTGAGTCTGTCATGGCCTCATCGCTGCTGTTTACAGTACCAAGGAACCACCACGAGGGGGTGGCAGTCGTATATGGGGTTGTTTCACTGAATCCAGGAAAAAGTCCCAAGAAAAAAGTCACAGAAAAAAAGGCACGGATAAAACCTAGCCTAGCCTAACCTAACATAACTTAACCTCCGTGCAATGCCATCACACACACATACACACACATATATATATATATATATATATATATATATATATATATATATATATATATATATATATATATATATATATATATTGTTACGAACCCCTCCACCAATTGTCATGATCTACCTACCCAGCACTACGAACCACGCCATCTATTGTCCTGATCGACCTACCCAGCACCACGAGCAACGCCATCTAGGGACGAGACACGAGTATGACTCGTCTTAGTTACCACTCCGGGGTTTCCCTTCTCCATATCCTGGTTGTTGCGTCACCTCCTCAAAGTCTTCTTTGTCAGCTCCAATTCGAGGAGAGAGCACTACACTCTGGGAAGTGACCACAGGATCACCAATCCTGGAAACCTACGGCACAGTGACTACCTACCGTCTTCTACTATACTCAGCCTTGCTCGTCAGCCATCTCAGCTCCTCACTTAAGTATTTGTAATCTTGTATTGCCTTTCCCACCTCCACCCCACCTCCACCTTGCTTCACGATTGTTTTATGTTGTACTAATATGTATATACTGTTAATGTTTAGGTTAAGTATGGTTAAGGGTAATTTATAGGAAGCTGATTATTTTGTTAAGGAATTTATGGTACTTTATTATACACAACGAAAACTCTCATCCTTTGTCTACCCTTTTATAGTCCGATTGTCTTTGTTTTGTTTTTTTTGTTACCTGTTGGGATCTGGGTAGACGTATAACTATATTCTAAATCCCCAACTCGTAACAAA